CTCCCCCCCCAAAAAAAAAAAAAAAAAAAAAAAAAAAAAAACACAGCAAAACAATGAAGCTTACAATAGTAGATGATTTGAAGCCAGTTCCACACTAGTGTGATCATGATCGTGCGGTTAGTGTTTCTTATTAAGATACTTTTTTATCAGTGGAGACTGACGTTTCCACATGCAGTGTATGCCACCATCTTCAGATTCAAGTGGTAAGTCATTTTTGAGACTAATCTTACCCGGAAGATCCTTGACGATCGAGGCCAAATGAAAAGTTTCTGATAATAGAATGCGCTAGGTACTCCGTTCTCACATTGAGAGATTTTCAAGTGAGTGTCGTAAAACTAAAACTAAAGTAATCACTCTAGCCAGTCACAACGGACACAGACGATCCAGTAAGTCAATCAAAACTCAAACGAAGCGCGGGAAAACGTGTGTGAGAAAATCACAATTGGTTTCGGTTTTATTTCTGCTTGGATACAAAAAGTGGCACCAATTTTTTAAGCCAATCGCATTGCGTAGTAATGCCAAAGCAATTAGTTTTCGACGCTCAAATAAAAACTGCCCCATCTCTCATGCACTGTTTGTTTCTATTATAGCTACCTTAACTACAATAATTTTCACACCTCCTTGCAATATCTTCTAACAAAGGATTTCCCTAAAACATCAAAGACATCAAAATTGAATCATGGGTCCTAACAGTGACCGTTGATCCTTGTAAATTAAAGATAGTATTAGTAGGTCTGGTTAAAACGTTAAGCTGAAGATTTATATCTACCTTTATATACTGTACAATATTCTGATTCTAATACTCAGGTGTAGGTTTCCTACATATTATCTTAAACATCAAGCTAAATTACAAAATTGAGCAATGGAGATTCGTTTGTTTGAGATAATGTACCTTGACTTACGGATAAAAATTTCCACTAGTCAAGCAATTGAATAATTTGAAAAAGAACGTATTTCATTTGGTAAGATCGGATATTGTGAAATGGGCAACCAGTGTTAAAGCTGAGTGGATCTCTTTACTGCAGTTGTTATCAATCATTCCATCTTCGCGTGAGATTTTGACTCAAACAACGTTAAATCCATTGTTGCTATGATATGAATATTGCTGAAGGGGGCTCATTTCCAGTTCCTTGAACGTACGTAGGGATGGAAAACTGGTCAGCGTGCTCCTGTTAGAGTGCATGCGCACTCTGTTGGATTTGTAAGAAAAGTGACAACGCCTTAGAACTTTCTTCATTCCTTTCTTATAGTCACTGTTAAAAATGATATAGATAAATGGGTTTATAGAGCTGTTAGCGTGACCGAAAAACAAGCCAAGGAAAGCCACGTATTCCGGGGGACCGCAGTCACCGTGTTCACCAGCAACAAATAGCATTATAAGATAAATGTAGAACGGAAGCCAACAAAGAGCAAATACGAGCACCACGGTCATGCAGATTTTGAGTATTTTCTTTCTCGTTTCAATCTCGTGCAGTTGGTTAGGAGCTGTGGAATTTCCTGGAACAGTTCTTACCCAAACTTTAAAAGCAATGACGGAGTACAGAATCCCTATTATCAAAAGCGGAAAAACATACAGAGATCCAAACAACGCCAAAGTATAATGTTTTGGCGAAGACCCGTTGTCGAACAGAGGCTCCCAATTCTCCAGACAAGTTTGCACACCTTGCACGTCTTGGACACGCATGACGTATAGCATCGGCGACGCGATGGCGAAAGAACTCATCCAGATGAGGAACAGAAGTAAGACTGTTGTACTGTTGCGCCTGCTTCGACGTAATGGAAACATGACAGCTAGAAATCTGTTAACTGCAATGCCCGCTAAGGTGAGCACGGTGCAAGCAATCGCAGTGCCTTGGATGAAAACGACAAACTTGCAGAGAAACACGCCCGCACTTCCGTCAAGCCATTCAAACGGCTTGTGGGCTATCGTCAATCCGTAATGCCAAATCTGCACCGCCATGTCGAACACGGTCGTCAACAGGTCAGCAGCTGCCATGTTGATGATGTAGTAGTTCATGACGGTCTGGGCACGAGGATAATTGATGATGGCACCGATGAGTATACTGTTGCCAAATATGGAGATGATCAAAATGGCCGTGTATGCTAACAACTGAAAAGTGGCCGTGAACGTGGTTGAATGTGGGATTGGGCAACCCGATGAGTCTGTGGCATTCGATGTTACGTTGTCATCCATTACTCTCCTTTGTATTAAGAAAAATAAGTGTCAAGATTGTTTTAATCCATAACAGACAATGGAAGGTCATAAACCTTACACATGTTCCCACAGCTTAAAGGAGCTCAGTCATGGCATTTTGAGTTACTTTTGCGCGTACAAAATTACCTTTAAATTGAAGGAAACCTGAAAATAGTAGTTTACTAAGATAGCAAAACACCAAAGAGATGATAGTAAAGCATAAAAAAATAAGGATGGTTAAGGATGGAGACGATTAACAGGGCTTACAAGGAAAAAATTGAAAAATTTAGGGTAAACTTTTTAAGTTGCAGAAACCGTGACCGGCGTAGTTCTTTCAGCTCAATATCATGGTAAAGTAAGATTGACCATCATCGGGACAAACCACGAAGGCAAATCCAACAGAAACGTCATCAGAAAAAATTTAGTTTTTTAAAAAAATGGTTTCTGGAATAGAACACCGAGTAGCTTAGCGCGTGCGTTATACACCTTAGTGCATTTCTTTTACGATTCTTTGCGAAACAACGACCAAATTCGACGTATTATGAGGGCTCAGAACCACCACAGCTAAAAGATTTAACGTCTATTTGGCTGGAGGTAGTTCTTAAGCTAATAAATACATTTTTTATCAGGTTGTCGATGTCATAGTTTAGGTTTCTAATGAAGCATGCCACGTAGTGTAAAATTGTTGAAGTGCATTTGATTACGTTATTAGTAATACGGATTAGAGAATTTAATGCTTTCAGAAAAAATTTCAATCTGCGCATTTAAATTTACGTCCACTACAGAAAGATGATGAATATTTCTGTTTCTAAATAGGTGTAACCTAAATCATCTTTAAATTCAGCATTGTATTTGGATAATGAGCGTGAACTCTTGAAGCAAAATCGAAACTGATCCTGGGCTGATATTGCTAGTTCGTGACTTTTTTAAAAAAAATATCTTATCAAAAGAAGCAACTACACGTCTGCATTGTTAATAAATAACATTTTTTTGTAAAGAAAAACTCGACATAAAAGGTGCGAAATTTAAAATAACTTTTTGATTAATTTGCCTTTAACTGTCAATCAATTCAGGTGGAGCCCTTTTTTTAAAAGCCGTATTAAACAAACTTTGTTTTTAACGTGTGAAATGAGGAGTCAATTTTGGACACATCGTGTTTGTTTTAAAATGACAAAAAATAACGATTTGGTAAGTCCACAATAGAACTATTTATTTTGAGCAACTATATGTGAGATATATTGTGATGTCCTGATCAGGAAAAACTCATAAACTCAAGTTTAGAGCAACAACACATCTCCGAAAACACAAAGGTGTAGCCTGTTGCAGAGATACTACTATCGATGCCATACCTTTTAAAGGTGACGCAAAATTTCAAATTTACATTGGGTGTTTCATCGACGAAATGATGCACAAATCTTTTGTAATAAATATTTCCATTTTGTTATAAAATTTTAAAATGTCAATTTTTAAACTGAAAACTCTGAATAAGCCTCAAGTGATCACCAAGAACACATTCGAGATTATGAACTTTCAATACATTAACCTTTCAATTCTCCAAAGAGATCAACTGCGACTTTCTCCTCACATTAAGCTGAAAGCTGGCGAGATAAAGCAATCTATCAGCTGAGAAATATTTCTTCATTTTCCAACAAATTCTCAAAAAGAATTAAAGAAATTATGGCATAAAAATAACAAATAATGTTTGTATGGTATATTTTTAGTGTGTTTTAATCTTGGAACGAAAGGTCTCAATATAACATACATTTTAAATCTATTGATAGTAACTGTATTTGAAATATTAGCTTGAAAATTTGAAAAAAAAAATCCTATTAATATTCAATTTTATAATTGCTTCACTTTAATCAGTATTTACCACGTTTCTGGCATTCTGAACGGAAACACAACATATTTCGCCAATAAGAAGTTGCTTTTGAACCATTTTCCATGTTTGCTTCGTTATCGACCTTCTCCCCTTTAATCTAACTCTTGCGTTTATAACTTTATCGACCAATTTCGAAATGGATACTCCAGAATCACATCAAGATAATACAAGAACGAGACAGGTCAAAACACAATCAATACAATTGAAGTCGTCGCAGTTTAAGCCCGCGATAATTGAAATATTTGATGATCTTTCGTCTTTTTTTCAGAGCGGCAATTCATTAAGACAAAGAAGGCTTACGTTAGAACACTTGAGACTCATAAATAATGGCAAAATATTACATGTAAAAGCCCAAAACGATCTAACCGTCACCTTAGCTAGTCACATTGTATCTAGCTTTCCTGGAATTTATTATAAAAACGGATTATCGACAGCCACACTTTGAGAATTTTTGAATCAAGTTCTAGATTCAGCTTCCTCGATCACATATTTACCTTTGTATCAATCCGAAGCCGAACTTGCCACGGCACTTCAATATTTAAATTTTGGTGGCAATAAAACACTTACGTATAGTCTAGTCTCTAGTCTCTTGTCTCGTTTTGAACTTTTCCTTGGTTAGGTCATCTTTTTTTTTCTAATGTCACTGAGGTTACGACGATGATAGACTAGTAGGTTACAAGAAGAGAGCGAACTTATGATAAGTGCTTAAGAAAACAATGGAAAACCCTGGATAAAAACTACGAAGTAACTGTCAGAAAAAAAAAAAAAACAAGGACAAAAGACAGTTCATAACGAAATTGATTGTTAGGTAAAAAAAATCTTCCCTTCTCTAGTTTAATGTTCACGGTTTTCCGTCTTTTTTTGATTATTGTAGATGAAACAAACAAGGCTTATTACTTTTCCTCACCTTTCAGTTCTGCAGCTCTGTACCAAATGAGGGTAGACGTCAACGACCAAATTGTAGAGATATCTCGGTGTACGAAGTGAAACAAATCAGTCCGCAGTTAAACTACAATGCCGATGAAATTCAAAACGATGGAAATTGATAAGAAAAGTTTAGCTCAGGTGCTTCGGGTTGACCTATCAGTCTTTTATATTAAGGCAATATTTGTTGTTTCAGTTGCCGAAAGTTAAAACAGTAGCTCTTCGGTTCTCAATATTAATTTTTGCTGAAATTCTCTGTCGGAAAATGTAGTATCTTTATACGTTAATCTGACGCAAGACGTATGGACTGTAGACACAAGTTATATTAGCGCTGGAAATGGCAGAGAATTCCTTTATAAAATTATAGCCACTGTCACTCCGACAGGTGCAAATACAACACGCGTTCAAAGTAAACTTTTATCAGTATTTCTTCCGACAATCAGTTGACATTGAGGCCAACCCGCCCGACCAAAAATAAATTGTCCTGATTTAAGTCTAAAGAATATGACAAGGAAACATGTCTATTCTTTATGATTTTAATGACAATTAGAAAAGTGTTTAATGAATATGCACTTTGAGGTTTCTAGTTGTGAATTTGTTACCCTGTCATGTAAGGTGGTGAAAATAGAGGCTGGCTCTTGTTCAACCTTCAACATAGATTACGAAACACAAATGGCACTAAAGCGCCAGCCTTCGTATGAAACATGATAGCGAAACGGATTCCAGTGTTTGAAGAACACTGACAACGCGGTGTCGCTACATTAAAAGAACGTTTCACACTGCATATGTCCGCAAATTAAGATCACATCCGTTCAGTAAAACCGACTTAATGAAGTAAGAAGTAATATTTCCCTGCTTATCGGAGATTGCGGCCTTTTTTGATGTAATATGCGTAGACACAACTATTCTTCCTTCTAAACTTGGGCTGCAAAAAAAAAAAATTTCGTTAATTGGCGTAAAATACTACAGGCAAAAGTATCAATCATTTTAAATAAGTCGTTAACAGATTTTGATTTGCGAGGCTGTCAGTTTTGTAATAACAAGCGTTAAAAATGCGCAGTTACTCTACTCAGAATCGCGGAACGGGCGAGATAAAAAGGAGATCCGGCCTTTATGAAGATTTTTACTCATTCAGACAACAAACATTTGAGTAAGGTGTGGCACTAAAATCCGGCTCAGTTTTCACCTTAACTCTCACTTTTAACTGATTTAAAGCATTGTTTCTTTTGACAAAAGACTGCCTTTAACGCCAGCTCTAGGGGGCAGGTAATACATCAAGACAAGCCAAATTCAGGTTGTCAGAGTATTGATTTTGCATGAAGACGCTATCAATTAAAAACTGTTTCATAAAGGAAATCTCACAGTCCCTTTTTCGCGAGAGAAACACTGGCTCGGCTTTTATTCGAGAAAAACATATTGACACCAAGTTAGTTCACCCGTCTTTTAATTTACTTCCAAAAAATTGTAAGCATTTTCCTTTATTATTTTAAATGATTTAATCATTTATTTTTCGACCATCAACGTTTATAATGAAATGTCATTACATTGTAGCAATAAAAAGAGATGTCGAAATTAAAAACGCTTGGAAAAAGTAATCTGAATAAATGCATATCGGCGCCTCTTTTTCCGACGCCAACATATTTTACTGTAGAATCCTCACTACAAGCAGATTTTGTCCAGTTTGAGTCGATTCTGTGGAAGTACCTCGCTAAAAATAAAGTGCCGCCATGATGCCGGTTATGAAAATATCGCAATTACTATTCGATGCGCCTGTTTCGAGAGCAATTTCCGAGATCAGAACAAAATGGCTGTGCACGTGTGTTCTATATCTTTGTAAAATTCTTGGCTGTCCTCTGCAAAACAACAACGTAAAATAACCAAGTTCTCAGTATTTTAGAGCATGTGAACCTCAACAGCTAATTTTTGGTATTTCTTTTGGAATTGAACGCTGTCATAACATATCCAGCCGTCAAACTTTAAACCGATAGGCGCATCAAATAGATCGAGTAGATAACTTTTGATTTCAACTGTATGTAGTTCGTTTTCTTCTAGTTAGTCAATTATTTTTTCAATTTATCCCTAGTCAGCAATTATTTTAGACTACGGATAAATTGAAAAAACAAAATAATTGACAAACTAGAGGGAAACGACCTTCATATAGTTAAAATCAAAAGTTAGTTTCAACATAGATCTATGTAAAACAAGAAAATTCACAGACGGATATAAATCTATTTCTTACTAGGTGTTGACCTTGTCATCGATCGGAGTCCCCATTGCGTAAACTCCTCTATTATAGAGCTGAACTGGTCCGCGATAGGACAATTCTGATTGGTTCCCTTAGCGGCCTTAATTTTCCAATACGGACCGCTTAGATCAACAGCGTACAAATTAATTTTGGCGAATTGCTTTTTCAATTCATTGCACAAGGTAAATAGAAGATATCTTTCTGCCGTCATGTTTGGAGGACAATTTCGCAATGAATTTTTTAGCGAAACAAAATAAAAATGTTCACAAAAGCGACACAACAGAAACGTAAATAACTGCTTACCTTTCGGCCTCACGTTCACCGAGAATGGATCGTCGAGGAGAATTAATTTATCAGCAGATTGAAAAGAGCCATCATAAAACATGTATTTTATAGAACTAGCTAGTTCGGTCCGTATTGGAGAACATTGGTCTCGATTTTTCTTGAAAGTTTATTGACCTCGCTTGCGGCTCGGTCTATATGCATCAACCTACAAAAGAAAAAAAAAAAAAAAAAAAGAAAGAAAAAGAACTCGACCAATATTTCTCCAAAACGTACCTCGCGCTACTAGCCTAACATCACATATCTTTATTTTAGCTTGGGATACGGCATCCTGTTTAACAAACTGACGTCAGTTTTTCATGCGGCTGTCCTGTTATTGGTCATGAATTTCGTCATAACATTATCAAAGTAGCTGTGGATCCACAAGGTGATAGCCGAGTGGATTCTCAAATTACTTTGACAATGTTATGACAAAAATTCATTGTCAATAACAGGACAGACGCATGAAAAACTGACGTCCATTTGTTTTTTACAATAACAAAAAAGCAGAGGGGTCAAACTTAAGTCACAACGCGAGAAATTCAAGTGTCTGTCCGCTTATTGACAATGAAAATTAGCCAATGAGCGCGCAAGAATTATATTTGACCAATAGACCGCACGATGGGGAAATAAACTCTAATGGACCTCCTGGGTTCGAGCGCATGGCTTCGTACCAAGTCATTGGGGGAGACAATTAACTATCACTCCAGTCAGGTGAATATAAACAATAACATCCAGCAGGCTCAAAATATACACTGATGATTGCTCGTGGACATAAATTTGTTCCGAGAAGCGGTTGACAGCCTTGAGGAATATATAATCTCCAAGAAGCAAACTCCGTGTTTGTTTATAGTGATCTTTTTCAAGTATCTTTCGCATAGTCTCTTTGCTCGAGCTCAAAAAGGTGTCCTTAATTTCCATTCCAAATGTTTGGTAGTTGTTTAAACCTATCCAGATCGGGCTTGTTTTTCGCCCAAAGGAAGGGCGAAATCCCCAACCCACCTCCCCTGCTCCATAACATCAAGTATAGTTAGCAATAAGTAATAACGAAGCTCACGGTATGTGGTACATCATACTTGCAAAGGTTGCAGAAAAAAAGCAGCATGAGATGATGACGTAATATCACGTGATAATGATGTCATGGCATCCAAATGGTTACCATTTGCATCCACCATCTTTGATGTCTTGAATTTTCAAAACGATAGAGAACCAACAAAGATAGCTCAAAGCCAATCAATATCAACAGTCCTAAAAGTGAAAGTTAACTTTTTTGTAACAAAGTAAGAAAATAATGTATTTAGAAAAAAATATCATGAAAACATAATGTTTTTTCTTTAATGAATTGTCATTAAAGACGTTGTAGGCGGTTTTTTAGAAAAATGCTTCCGTCCTCGTTCTTTATCTGAACAGAGTTAAAATATTAAAATATTATAAATATATGTTTCGTTGTTTCTAATATGACAATTGATTCGGGACAAAAACTTGTGTTCAAGCAAAAGTTAAAGCAATCAATAAACCAGTGTGCCGGGTTGTTGGAAGGCTGGTTAACGCTAACCCAGGGTTAAAAGTTAATCGAAGTGTAAAACTTTGCTTGTGTAAAAATGTTTTTCACTGCTTATGTTTTGTGTAGTTTAAGATTCTTCAAACTCAACAGAAGGCCAAACGATGTAAACAGAAAATCTTACCACAACGTTGCAAAACTGAAATCAAAATTCTCGTTAATCCTGGGTTAGTTTAATCGGGTTTTGAACAACCCAGCCCAAAATAATATCACTTACTTGGGCGTGTCTTCTAGCATCTCTATGACAGTTTTGACTGGTAACGCGTTTTTAGACCAATAATCAAAAAAAGAAAAAATTACGGATGTTAAATGTGAATACAGCCGAATTATCAGGTTTCCCAAGAAACTCTTTGTTATAAACCTGAGAAAGCAGCTTTCGTCAGCACACGACCCGAGCACAGGGCAGTAGTCGAACTAGAAACAAGACGACTGCTTTCGAGGAAGGTGTAAATTCTTTTCCAGCAAGCGATACACATTCATACACCAGCAAAATACTCCACCATTGAGCTAACCGGCATTTCAGATCAAACGACATTTAACAGGCAATTAATGTTATTTTTTTTCATTTCAATTATTTATTGTTTTATAACTCTAGTGTTAAATTTTATTCAGTCACATTCTTGTAACTTCGTTAAAGGAAGCCTACAATTATAATTAAGTTCCTTTCGTAATATATAGACCCGGCCGGCTCCTTCTTTGACCAGATCGAGCTTCATGCTCCCCCAAAAAATATTATATTAGCTAGAGGATATGTTTTTCTATAAATTTCATTTGTAATCACAGTCATACTGATTTTTAATCGATAACAAGCTTTTTCGTTGTCATGTACATTTTATGAACCACCAATGGCGAAAGTAATAAATTCGCAATTAAGTTGGGAATGTATGAAAACAAAAAATATATATTTACACTAGAAAAAAAATGACAATTTCATTTGATTTGACCATTTAGCTATAGTAAAAAACCCGCAGGTTAGAACCCAGTGGTTTAAGAACCTGCTGACAAAAATTTGCCGCATTACAATACTCAAAAGTATTAGAACATGTCTAGCTAAGCAAGAAAAAGAAGGTTCTTATATGTTAATTACAGTTAAATTATGGTAAACCCTTTAACCAAGAAGTGAGACATTGACATCGCAAATTTATTTTAGAAGAAATTACACGATACAGTTGTGAATAAATATTGTATATTCAAGGACCAAACCCAGGTTTATTTATTTTTGTGGTAATCATCAACCATAACTCCTTCATCGAAATGAAGAGCCTAATTAAGAACCTACTTAGCCTAAAATGGCAATAACTACCCCAGAATACAAGAACCTATTTTGCCAGACTTTAAAAAAGTAGGTTCTTTCACGTGGGTTTTACTATATATATATATTGTAACCCGAAAATACAACAATTAGCAGTGGAGACTAAAATGCCTAACACCAGTAATATATTATAACTGAAATGAAAACCACTGGTAGAATATGAAGCTAAAACCACTTATTCCTGCTACCAATCTTTCCAAACCAAACTTGTTATAAGTTAAAATATTTTAATGATGTAAGCTTTATGTTTAGAGAAATAGCACACATTAAACTGAAAAACACCATCAGTGTTAAGTCATGTATCGGGCATTTGGAAAAACTGAAAACTTTTTTAAAGTTCTTTGTTCGTGAGCCGTTTAATTTTTCCTCATTGTTAATCGGTCAGTTGGGTTTTGGCTTACATCACTATCACAGTTTTGTTTATCTCCCTTGGAAATCTTAGCGTGTGAAAGGAAGACGACATAGGACCTGGCCAAGGTTATTATCGCAGGAAAAATAAATTAAATTTGCCACTCTTATCTCGCTTTTTGGGGGTACTTGATGCAACGATTTCCACCGCGCGTTGTAGATATCAAAAGCCTTGACGCCCATCAAAGCAAACAAAAAAATATTCGTATACTTACAGTCGCAGCTTTTATTCAATTAAGTTTTCTGTTTTGAAAAAGTTACCAATTTGTTAAACATCTGAACAGCTAACCAAACTTATACTGATGGCTTCTGTCAATGTTTCGTTTCCCTAGCGTACCTAGATGTGTTTATGTACTAGAAAACCAAGACGTCATTTGATGAAGCCCTTATTAGTTTTCCGTGCAATTATATGTCCACTCCACATAGATGCATATTTAATTTTCGGTAACTCTTGGCCAATGTTGTCATTCAAATAATTCCATCTATTAACAAATGATGACAAAATGATGACAAAATACTCACTCAAGTTGCCATAAGCTCCAGAAATTTTCCTCTTTTCCTCGTGGAAAAGATGTTTCAGGTAACGCAGGTGATCGAGAGCCGAAACCCTGCTTAAACATTGTCTGACACCCATAGCACCTTTAGGTTTATCAGCCACATGTCAAACGTATACCAGTTAAGTAACTTTTACAAACGTCCCTAACTGTGGTCTAGTTACCCCTTTCATCTTTTAGAGAGGAGAGGATCTTTTTCCTTGTTCTCGAGTTGTACCCTCGGTGCCAAACTCAGTCAGTTTCATCGTGTTCTGATTGGACGTCCTTGGCACGCGACTCCTAGGCAACATAGGCAGGCATGCACGATTGAAACTTCTAAGGCTGCTGCGGCATTCTTTGTTGAATATTGCATAAATACATGGATTGATAGCGGAATTGGCATGACCAAGAAACAGACCAATGAACATCACGTTTGCAGGCGGGCAACTATCGACAATGAAATTCATGGACAAGTACGTGTAGTATGGCAGCCAGCAAAGCCCAAAGACGATCACAACGGTAATTAGCATTCTGAGAACGCGCTTTTTGGTTGCAAGCTCGACCAGTTGGTTTGGAGCGGTCAAGTTCCCCGGAACCTGCCTTTTCCATACTTTCCGTACAATAGCCGTATATAATACACTGATTGCAGCCAGAGGCAAAGCGTACAGCAGCGTGATTAGAAATAGGGTGTAGTTTTTGTGAGGTGACTCACCTTCAAACGCTGGAGACCACTGTTCGATGCAGTGCAGATTGCCGTCTTCTCTTTGGATGACTTTCATGGCGTACAGCATTGGCGAAGAGGTGGCGAAGGAGACTAGCCAAATGAAAGTAATGGTAAAGATCGACAGTGACTTGGTAGAGCCCATTTTAAGTGGGTAAAACACTGCAAAGAAGCGATTAACGGCTATAGCGATGAGAGTTAAGACGGAGCAGGCTATGGATAAGCCCTGAACAACAACAATACCTTTGCACAGGACAACGCCACCGGCTCCTTCAAACCAGAAAANAAAAAAAAAAAAAAAAGAAAGAAAAAGAACTCGACCAATATTTCTCCAAAACGTACCTCGCGCTACTAGCCTAACATCACATATCTTTATTTTAGCTTGGGATACGGCATCCTGTTTAACAAACTGACGTCAGTTTTTCATGCGGCTGTCCTGTTATTGGTCATGAATTTCGTCATAACATTATCAAAGTAGCTGTGGATCCACAAGGTGATAGCCGAGTGGATTCTCAAATTACTTTGACAATGTTATGACAAAAATTCATTGTCAATAACAGGACAGACGCATGAAAAACTGACGTCCATTTGTTTTTTACAATAACAAAAAAGCAGAGGGGTCAAACTTAAGTCACAACGCGAGAAATTCAAGTGTCTGTCCGCTTATTGACAATGAAAATTAGCCAATGAGCGCGCAAGAATTATATTTGACCAATAGACCGCACGATGGGGAAATAAACTCTAATGGACCTCCTGGGTTCGAGCGCATGGCTTCGTACCAAGTCATTGGGGGAGACAATTAACTATCACTCCAGTCAGGTGAATATAAACAATAACATCCAGCAGGCTCAAAATATACACTGATGATTGCTCGTGGACATAAATTTGTTCCGAGAAGCGGTTGACAGCCTTGAGGAATATATAATCTCCAAGAAGCAAACTCCGTGTTTGTTTATAGTGATCTTTTTCAAGTATCTTTCGCATAGTCTCTTTGCTCGAGCTCAAAAAGGTGTCCTTAATTTCCATTCCAAATGTTTGGTAGTTGTTTAAACCTATCCAGATCGGGCTTGTTTTTCGCCCAAAGGAAGGGCGAAATCCCCAACCCACCTCCCCTGCTCCATAACATCAAGTATAGTTAGCAATAAGTAATAACGAAGCTCACGGTATGTGGTACATCATACTTGCAAAGGTTGCAGAAAAAAAGCAGCATGAGATGATGACGTAATATCACGTGATAATGATGTCATGGCATCCAAATGGTTACCATTTGCATCCACCATCTTTGATGTCTTGAATTTTCAAAACGATAGAGAACCAACAAAGATAGCTCAAAGCCAATCAATATCAACAGTCCTAAAAGTGAAAGTTAACTTTTTTGTAACAAAGTAAGAAAATAATGTATTTAGAAAAAAATATCATGAAAACATAATGTTTTTTCTTTAATGAATTGTCATTAAAGACGTTGTAGGCGGTTTTTTAGAAAAATGCTTCCGTCCTCGTTCTTTATCTGAACAGAGTTAAAATATTAAAATATTATAAATATATGTTTCGTTGTTTCTAATATGACAATTGATTCGGGACAAAAACTTGTGTTCAAGCAAAAGTTAAAGCAATCAATAAACCAGTGTGCCGGGTTGTTGGAAGGCTGGTTAACGCTAACCCAGGGTTAAAAGTTAATCGAAGTGTAAAACTTTGCTTGTGTAAAAATGTTTTTCACTGCTTATGTTTTGTGTAGTTTAAGATTCTTCAAACTCAACAGAAGGCCAAACGATGTAAACAGAAAATCTTACCACAACGTTGCAAAACTGAAATCAAAATTCTCGTTAATCCTGGGTTAGTTTAATCGGGTTTTGAACAACCCAGCCCAAAATAATATCACTTACTTGGGCGTGTCTTCTAGCATCTCTATGACAGTTTTGACTGGTAACGCGTTTTTAGACCAATAATCAAAAAAAGAAAAAATTACGGATGTTAAATGTGAATACAGCCGAATTATCAGGTTTCCCAAGAAACTCTTTGTTATAAACCTGAGAAAGCAGCTTTCGTCAGCACACGACCCGAGCACAGGGCAGTAGTCGAACTAGAAACAAGACGACTGCTTTCGAGGAAGGTGTAAATTCTTTTCCAGCAAGCGATACACATTCATACACCAGCAAAATACTCCACCATTGAGCTAACCGGCATTTCAGATCAAACGACATTTAACAGGCAATTAATGTTATTTTTTTTCATTTCAATTATTTATTGTTTTATAACTCTAGTGTTAAATTTTATTCAGTCACATTCTTGTAACTTCGTTAAAGGAAGCCTACAATTATAATTAAGTTCCTTTCGTAATATATAGACCCGGCCGGCTCCTTCTTTGACCAGATCGAGCTTCATGCTCCCCCAAAAAATATTATATTAGCTAGAGGATATGTTTTTCTATAAATTTCATTTGTAATCACAGTCATACTGATTTTTAATCGATAACAAGCTTTTTCGTTGTCATGTACATTTTATGAACCACCAATGGCGAAAGTAATAAATTCGCAATTAAGTTGGGAATGTATGAAAACAAAAAATATATATTTACACTAGAAAAAAAATGACAATTTCATTTGATTTGACCATTTAGCTATAGTAAAAAACCCGCAGGTTAGAACCCAGTGGTTTAAGAACCTGCTGACAAAAATTTGCCGCATTACAATACTCAAAAGTATTAGAACATGTCTAGCTAAGCAAGAAAAAGAAGGTTCTTATATGTTAATTACAGTTAAATTATGGTAAACCCTTTAACCAAGAAGTGAGACATTGACATCGCAAATTTATTTTAGAAGAAATTACACGATACAGTTGTGAATAAATATTGTATATTCAAGGACCAAACCCAGGTTTATTTATTTTTGTGGTAATCATCAACCATAACTCCTTCATCGAAATGAAGAGCCTAATTAAGAACCTACTTAGCCTAAAATGGCAATAACTACCCCAGAATACAAGAACCTATTTTGCCAGACTTTAAAAAAGTAGGTTCTTTCACGTGGGTTTTACTATATATATATATTGTAACCCGAAAATACAACAATTAGCAGTGGAGACTAAAATGCCTAACACCAGTAATATATTATAACTGAAATGAAAACCACTGGTAGAATATGAAGCTAAAACCACTTATTCCTGCTACCAATCTTTCCAAACCAAACTTGTTATAAGTTAAAATATTTTAATGATGTAAGCTTTATGTTTAGAGAAATAGCACACATTAAACTGAAAAACACCATCAGTGTTAAGTCATGTATCGGGCATTTGGAAAAACTGAAAACTTTTTTAAAGTTCTTTGTTCGTGAGCCGTTTAATTTTTCCTCATTGTTAATCGGTCAGTTGGGTTTTGGCTTACATCACTATCACAGTTTTGTTTATCTCCCTTGGAAATCTTAGCGTGTGAAAGGAAGACGACATAGGACCTGGCCAAGGTTATTATCGCAGGAAAAATAAATTAAATTTGCCACTCTTATCTCGCTTTTTGGGGGTACTTGATGCAACGATTTCCACCGCGCGTTGTAGATATCAAAAGCCTTGACGCCCATCAAAGCAAACAAAAAAATATTCGTATACTTACAGTCGCAGCTTTTATTCAATTAAGTTTTCTGTTTTGAAAAAGTTACCAATTTGTTAAACATCTGAACAGCTAACCAAACTTATACTGATGGCTTCTGTCAATGTTTCGTTTCCCTAGCGTACCTAGATGTGTTTATGTACTAGAAAACCAAGACGTCATTTGATGAAGCCCTTATTAGTTTTCCGTGCAATTATATGTCCACTCCACATAGATGCATATTTAATTTTCGGTAACTCTTGGCCAATGTTGTCATTCAAATAATTCCATCTATTAACAAATGATGACAAAATGATGACAAAATACTCACTCAAGTTGCCATAAGCTCCAGAAATTTTCCTCTTTTCCTCGTGGAAAAGATGTTTCAGGTAACGCAGGTGATCGAGAGCCGAAACCCTGCTTAAACATTGTCTGACACCCATAGCACCTTTAGGTTTATCAGCCACATGTCAAACGTATACCAGTTAAGTAACTTTTACAAACGTCCCTAACTGTGGTCTAGTTACCCCTTTCATCTTTTAGAGAGGAGAGGATCTTTTTCCTTGTTCTCGAGTTGTACCCTCGGTGCCAAACTCAGTCAGTTTCATCGTGTTCTGATTGGACGTCCTTGGCACGCGACTCCTAGGCAACATAGGCAGGCATGCACGATTGAAACTTCTAAGGCTGCTGCGGCATTCTTTGTTGAATATTGCATAAATACATGGATTGATAGCGGAATTGGCATGACCAAGAAACAGACCAATGAACATCACGTTTGCAGGCGGGCAACTATCGACAATGAAATTCATGGACAAGTACGTGTAGTATGGCAGCCAGCAAAGCCCAAAGACGATCACAACGGTAATTAGCATTCTGAGAACGCGCTTTTTGGTTGCAAGCTCGACCAGTTGGTTTGGAGCGGTCAAGTTCCCCGGAACCTGCCTTTTCCATACTTTCCGTACAATAGCCGTATATAATACACTGATTGCAGCCAGAGGCAAAGCGTACAGCAGCGTGATTAGAAATAGGGTGTAGTTTTTGTGAGGTGACTCACCTTCAAACGCTGGAGACCACTGTTCGATGCAGTGCAGATTGCCGTCTTCTCTTTGGATGACTTTCATGGCGTACAGCATTGGCGAAGAGGTGGCGAAGGAGACTAGCCAAATGAAAGTAATGGTAAAGATCGACAGTGACTTGGTAGAGCCCATTTTAAGTGGGTAAAACACTGCAAAGAAGCGATTAACGGCTATAGCGATGAGAGTTAAGACGGAGCAGGCTATGGATAAGCCCTGAACAACAACAATACCTTTGCACAGGACAACGCCACCGGCTCCTTCAAACCAGAAAATCTGTTGGCCAGCAGCCTTTTTGATGTGAATCCAAATTTCGACCGTCATGTTAAATAGAGAAGTTAGCAAATCAGCAATTGCCATGGAGACGATGAATTGATTGATGGTAACTGATCGTAAGCGGCGGTCTTTAAGCACGATTATGATAACGAGCAGGTTTCCTACTGTTGATATCACACAAATGAGAAGGTAAGCAGCTGTTTTAACGATCTCGGCGGCTGCTGCTGAAGGAAAGGCGGAATCTTCACAAGAGCTGGTGTTGTTGGACATAACTGTGAAGAAAAATAAAGATGATGCATGTATCATGATAATTTATCTCAGAACAAAGGCGCCTGCTTGGAGTAATGTAAAAAAAAAGGAAAATCATTATTTCCCTCATTTTTCATTCCGGACCTGTGTGCAGGAAATCTAAACGCAGCAGGAAAGTGATAAAATACATTTCGATAATTCAACTTCAACAATGACAGTATTTTGATCAATTTATTTAGAAGGCCTCTATTTCTCTATAATTATAAGGAAGAGAAAACTTTTCGCTAACTTCTCTCGCGAATCAGACGTTTATTTTTTTGTCCTCAATCAAAACATTTAAACGGGAATAAGTTTAAAAATTCTACCGAATTAAACTATGTACTGGAGACAAAAAGGAAATAGTCCTCGGTGTTAGAAGGGCTTAAAGAGGAAATAATTACGTGGCAGAGATGAAAGAGACTGGAAACTAAAGGCTTATCTCACAGATCTGACATCAAACATAGCTAAGTCTTCCCTTAGTGTGAACAACTTCCCGTATAAACTTTTCTTGTCTCCTTACTTCATACTAATAATAAATATTGTATGTAACACAGTTACCAAAACTACTATTAACGCTTGTTCACATAAGTCAGACTTCTTCTAAAATTTAAAACTGCAGTATGTTGTCTATTTATTGCGCTCTTTCTTTTGATGCCTAAATCACAGATCGGATCAGTTAAGTCCATTAATCGCAAGTTATAATTCAGTTTCTAACTATGCATAAAAGGATTTATACTACGTCACGTCACCAACAACAGAAAATCAAAAAGAAGAAGGTTAAGAAGACTAAGAAGGTTAAGAAGATTAAGAACATTAAGAAGATTAAGAAGATTAAGAAGAAGAAGAAGAAGAAGAAGAAGAAGAAGAAAAAGAAGAAGAAGAAGAAGGAGGAGGAGGAGGAGGAAGAGGAGGAGGAGAAGAAGAAGATGATGAAGAAGAAGGAAAATTAAAAAAAGAAGAGAAAGGAAAAGAAACGAAAATGAGGAAGAAAAAGAAGAAAGACAACAAAAACGACAACGACAACGACAACGAAAACGGCGACAAAAACAACAGTGACATCATGGGCGAAAACAGTGATAACAATGTACAATAATGTTCAATAATGTTCTATGTTTTCTGAAATGATTTCCAACAATCTTTATTGCTTTGCATTCTTTCATATTTCGTACTGATCATAATTAATGTTCCATTCTTGTCTTCGGTTGTTTTACACTGTTTTTTTTTCTTCATTGTTGCCCATCGATAATTTGTATGTTATCGTTCGAAAGCAATTCTGAGACTATTTACATTTGTTCTTAACGGAAATGTATGGTGAACAGAACACTGACTTTAACAACGATATGCCGTTCAATTGAAACTGTGTTTGAGCGCAGGAAATAGCCCTCTGCCTTTGTGTCTCCTGTTTTAAATTGTACAATACACAAACTTCATTTTAACTTAATGCTTGAAAATGGTTGATCGCATGCAGAGCGAACAAAGTGAGAAAGTGACTAAAAGCCAAATGCTCTTATCTTTGTAAAAACGGCAACTACGTTACTTACCTTTCCTCTTACTTCAGTAGGGAAAATGAACGAACAAATCGGGAAGGTTTTCAGATCACTGAGCAGGAGAAGACCTCGGCGCGATACTAGCAGAACACTGACTTGAATCAACTGATAATGTTCGTTCGGTAAACTTCTCTAAGGCTCTGACAAGATTTGCATTAGGCGTATGTGTGTGCTGTCAAGGGTTCTTTTGACATTGAAATCGAACTCAGCTGTTGAAACTTATGCCTTTCGCCGTGGCTTCCGCATTTGTTTTCGTCCTTGAAGTACAAATCCCAATGTGTGACGAACATGGGAGCCAGTATGTCGACGGCGGGGCCCAAGCTACCAGTCTTAAAACCGCGTTGGGTTGATATCAATTAAATTCTCGCGAACTCGATATTAAAAATAGCAACTCTTGAGGCGTTTTAAATTATCCCGAACAGTCGGATTGATAATAAATGTTCTAATTTCTCGATGAGAGGTGTTTTTAATTGGACAGTGGAGCTGTATTTACTTTGAAAGTAAACTGTTCTCCTTACCCGGAAAAAGCTAGCTTAAAAGCCATCACTCAAATTTAAAAAAAAAAAAAAAAAAAATGGTTTTCCATGCCGGGTACGAACCGGTGAGTTCAAAACTTAAAGTTTCTCTCGCATTAAATCTGTTGGATTGTCCAAACGAAAAATACCATGGGGATAGTTCATCACTGTCACAATCAAACGTAAAGTTAATTTGTAACGAAAATGCTGTTCTCGTTGGCTTTGCTATTTATTGTAGTTTTGTCATGTTACCCTTAGCAACGGACAGGTTTTAGGTTACAAACGTGAAAGTTTCTGTGACTGACAGTGAAAAAAAGGCTTATCTATCCATTTTTTAAGAAATGTTATTATCCTTTTATTTCTGGCGCCCTCACTAAATAGATACGATTTTTCTTTTTAGTTTTTTAGATACGCCTCAAATACTGACGTATTAATGGATGAAAAGTACCGACAACCATTATGAAGCTCTTCAGATCCGGAAAAGCTTGGCGATTTTAATAATACCGGGGCACTTATATACCTTTCGTCAATAACAATTGAGTTTTGCTTCTGTCGCAACCGAACTGACATAAACTGAAGGCAACCAGATCAACGAAGTAAACAGTCTCGAAGAAATGCAGTCGTCTCCAAACAGCCTTCCTCGCAGAGACAACCATTGAATATTTAACTTAAATGCCCTAACACTTTAGGAAACAAATGAATTCTCTGCAACAAGGATTGTGCGATTTTCCTTGAAATTGAAAAAAAAAAAAAAAAAAAAAACCTTTTCTCAAATGAAAATCAAAGCTCCTATATGCATGACTGAGCGACAGAAATATTTTTGGCAGTCAAAGTTTTTGTGTATTGCTTTTTTGTTTTGTATAGCCCGTCCAAAAGCGGTGTCTGCAAGAATTACTGTTACATATTAGAGAAGTCAAATGTAAACGTTTAAAGTACAGGCCAGGACACCGAAGCCATAAGCAAATTCAAATTGAGCCGAAAAACTACAGTAACTGCTATATACATCTGACAGTAAAAACTGAAATTCGTCCTCCCGGCCCCTGATTTGACGAAATAGTTTCAAAAAACTGTCACCACAAACTAAAAATTATCACGCTTTTTTTTTTTCTTTTGAGCATTTCAGTTAAGAAAAATAAACTTTTTAAGTGTTTCTATCAAGATATAGGAATACGAGTTGACGTTTCAGGGTGAAGGATTTAATGCTGTGCGAACACGAGTCGTAGGCAAGTGTGTTATCGCAAACGTAGCCTGCGTACCAAGCGTTCCCGTACGGAAAACGTTTTCTGCGTGGTGGCCGAGCGAAAATTGGTCGAGTGTTTTTGCTTTCGCTCCAATTTGCGTGCGGCCACGATACGGAAAAAACTCTTTGTACGCAGGTTATCGCAAACGTTCGCGAGTGTTTTCGTAAGTGTCTCGCGAGAAAAGGGGAGATCACTCGTTTACATCGATTACCGAAATGTAAATTCTCTTTGCTGGCGCCATCCTGAGGTCAAAAGCTCGTGGCTCTTCTGTGTTTCTATCGAGTTATAAAGGTAAAACTTTTAATGCGCTCATTCTTATAGGTTGATTTTTATTTTTAATTAAAAATCTCGTTAAGTTAATCCAGGGGAACTCTTTGAGGTTTTGGTTTCAGTAGATCTTTTGCTTCAAAATATCCGTGCCGTGTGTCAGCTCGTAACAATTGAACTAATACAAAAATAGGACTGGAAAAAAGCGGGTATATTTTACCCTTATGATAGTTCCAAAACCGACATGAAAAAAAAAAAATTTTATAACTTGTCATTAACATTTCCATTAGTTTTTAATTCCATGTACATTTAACTGGCTGAGTTACATTTTCGACTGAAAACAATTTAGAAAATTTAAAATTCACTGCCCCACCCCCCTCCCTATTCAGGGAAGAATTTCCTTTTACGACAAATTAACAGGTATATCGGTCCCAACTGTATTCAATGACAAATGGCGACCTACTTAGTCAAAATGATGGACAACGCCCAATGAAAATTAACAGTGCATTGTTTCACAGGGACAATAACAATATGTTGTTGTATGTTGCATAGCACCATTATTGGTTTGATTTTAAACGAGTCTTCTTTCTTCAATATCACTTCAGCTATTCAGGGAACTTCTCTCCAGTCGGTGTTTTTTGAGACACGAGCATGTGCTTTTCCCGGGCGATGTTGATTCTCTCGGCCCCTCTTTCCCAGGAAAAAAACTGATAAAAAACCAGTTGTTTCAGTTTATGCGGCTATAGTGAGTTGATTTCAACGAGGGCTCTTAAGGTCACCAAACCGTGAATATTCTTGTTTTAGTCTTTTCAGCGATTTAGTTATCCATTTGTTTCTAAATGTTCCTCCGAAACCTCGAAAAAACGAGAAAACATACCAATTTCGTAGAACGACCCTCAGCCACTGCGCAATTATGGTTGATAGTGTATGATAGCTCAGACAATTACATCTGCATTAGTATACCAGTGGATAAACTTCTGGTATACCATGGAATATCCCATGAGTCACTTGTATATTATCGGTATACACACTCGCCCAAAGGCGATCGTGCGTATACCAAGAAAATACAAGTGACTCGTGGGATATTTCATAGCATACCACGAGAGAGCATTGCAGCATTGCATTAACAGTCGATGGTAACACCTTAACTGATGCCAAAGGTATAGCTAATGCCTTCAACAAATATTTTGCCTCAATTGGGCCAATGTTGGCCAATGGCATTCAACCTGGCAATAGAACCTTTGTGGAATATTTAACAAATTCACAATGCAACAGCTTTTATTTATCACCAGTATCACCAACTGAAGTTGAGAATATTATTTCCAGCTTAAATGCAAGTAAAGCACTGGGGCCACATGGCATTCCAGTGACAATTCTTAAATTATTGAAGAGCATTTTGTGTCATCCATTATCTTATTTATCAGGCGCCATAATCGGGGACGGAGACCGTAAGTCTCGGGATTCGCGCGTACCTATGATATGGGACAATTTTTCTA